GTGAGTTCAATCCCCAGTGACTCAGTCTGTAACTCTTTCTCTATATGTGTGTAGGTGTGTCTTATGGAGATGAAGTCTGGGAGTATAAATTAGGGTACGTAAGAAAATAAAAGGCTATATTTCCATCTCTTAAGCACTATTCTTTTCTCTTTTCTCAGTGGGGATTGAATCTAGGGCCTTCACGCAGAGCTATATTCGTAGTCCTTTTTTATCTTATATTTTGAGATAGGTTCTCCTTACGTCATTAAATTGTCTAGGCAAGACTGAAGCTTGTGCTTGTCCTGCCCCAGCTTCCCGTTTTGAGCACTATTAATATTTGGGTCCTGTTTAACTTAAGTTCTTCTAACACACACACACACACACACACATACACACACACACACTCACACACTCATGACTATTTTATATTTGGGAAATATAAATAGATGTTATTTGAAATATGTAAATCTATTCCCCCAGGCAAATGTGTATTTACAATTAATTAATTAATTTTGAATTTTTTCAAGGCAAGTTCAGGCTGGCCTGGAACTCGCTATGTAGCCCAGGATGCCCTCAAACCTTCAGCAATCCTCCTGCCTCAGCCTCCTGAGTGCTGGGATTACAAGGGTGCACTCCCATGCCTGGCTACTTTATTACTTTTTAAACTATCCCAGGATGCCCACCCTTTTGCTCTGTGATCCAGAACTTTTTCAGCTCCATCTGCCCTCCCTTTATCCCCATGGTCAGTAACCTTGTGGGAATCCTTGGAAAGTTTAGAAAATACAGATCCTAGACCCTGAGGGGCTGATGGACACCAGTAACCCTCTAGAGCAGCAGCTCCCAAAGGGGGCCCCTAAGCATCCGGGGACAGCACCAATCCCTGCCCCCAGCCCCCAGACCAGACAGTAGGGTGCCGGCAGCTATACCCGTCTGCACAAGCCCTCCAAGTTCTTCTGAATGTGAGACAGGAGGCTGAATCAGGAGGGTGCAGTGACATGTGCAAGGCCAGGCAGCCCACTGGCACAGGCCTGAGCCTGAGCCCGAGCTGCTGGACAAGTCCCCAGTCAGATGACTCTCCTGGGTTGACGCTGGGCCAGGCCCAGTCAAGGTTCCAGCTTCATGTCTGGTGGTGCCTTAAGGCAGAAATCAGCTTCCAGGGAGATATAACCAGAGCCCTCGAGTGGGACACCAGCAGGGTCTGCCGTGGCACCGTCTTAGTTTTGATTGATTGATTGATTGATTGATTGATTTGCAGTACAGGGGATTGAACCCAGACTCTTCACCCTGAGCTACATCCACAGCCCAGTTCTGGAGACTGGGATTCAGTACATCCCCCACACTGCTCTCTGACTTGGGGTCCTACAGAGGTCTGGGCTGTATTGGGGTGGGTTGCCACCCATGGCTGCAGACCACCCTAAGACAGCATTTGCTGCCTGTAGCAGGCCATGTGGGTGCCTGTACATATTCTAGTAGACACATTCAAAAAAAAAAAAAAAACAAATAGTCAAAATAAACTTTTAAATTTGTATTTTCGATAAATTTTAATAGTAGCTTTTCTTTAAGGCAACATGAAGTGATATTTTCCTTTTTTTCATAGTCTCTGAAACCCAGTGTGTTTTATCCTGACAGCACACTGTAGCTCAGACCAGCTACCTTGGCTGGTCAGTTGCCCCGTGCGGCTGGGGGTGGCCACATTGGACAGCATGGTTCTAGAACGTTCTTTCTTGTGTCTGTGTGAGGCTCTCCACCCGGTGGAGGTTCTATTGTCCAGGGTGGCCTTTAATTTGTGACCCTCCTGCCTCGGCCTTCCAAGTAGCTGGTACAGCAGCTGCGTGCCACAGTGCCTGGCAGTCATGCCCTTTCTAGAAGTGGCTGAAACACACAGACAGATGCTATGAGGAGGGTCGGGCAGAGCCTGTCCTTCGGGCTGTTCGGTTGGGACATAGAAGCTGGCCCTAAACATTCTTTCTTCGACCAGGCAAGATTCCGCCCTGGCTGCAGGGCACCCTGCTCCGCAATGGGCCTGGGATGCACACGGTGGGCGACAGCAGGTACAACCACTGGTTTGACGGCCTGGCTCTGCTGCACAGCTTCACCATCAGGGACGGTGAGTTGTGTGTCTGCTGATGCAAGACAGAAACAGCATACGCTGGTCCCTTCAGGCCTAGAGGCCAGAGTCTGCGCTGGGCCACGGCGGGGCTGGTTCCTCGGGGGACGAGGTGCAAGAGGAGAGGCTGTGGCCGGCCTTCTCCACCACTCAGTGGCTTGTGGCTCCATCGCGGTCCTTGAAGCCAGCAGTCTAGCACCCTCAGTCTGACTGTGTCCCTTTCCCTTCTATCCGTCCCTCCACTGTCACAACTCTTTCTATCGTTCTGACTTCCCTGCCTCCCTCTCTTTTTTTTTTCTTTTTGAGAGATGATCTCACTATGTAGTTCAGGCCGGCCTCCACTCACTATGTAGGCCAGGCTGGTTTTGAACTCATGGTAATCCTCCTGCCTCAGCCTCCCAAAGATTGGGATTACAGGCATGTTCCACTATGCCTGGCCTCCTGCTTCCCTCTTACAAGGACATGCACACGTGACCCCAGATAATCTCCATCACCAAATCTTTAACTTGGCTATGTTAGGGACTAGATTTCTGGGTCCCTGGAATTAGGTTGTGGCCATCTCAGGGATGGGGGCAGCATTCAGCCCTCAACAAACTCTGGGAAAGTGGCTGATTCCCTTTCGAGGTCATCTTGCAAAGCAGTGAGTGTTCCTCTTGAGGCAGGTGAGAGCATGTGGGCTGTCACAGGCTTTGGACTCAGGTGTGCATCCAAATGAGACCAGAAGCGGGCGGCTCTAAAACATTCCGGCCGGTGTTCAAACTCATGTGCATAGGACAAGGTATCACACGCGTAATCTGGGATTGGCAGGAGAGATGGAAAGGGGGAATTTCTGCCCTGTCCCCTGCCCTTCCACTCTCTTTTTTTATTTTTAAAAATTTTT